CTCAGTCCAAATTTGTCTCAAATTGACATTTTAAAAAAGAGAGGTGGCTATTTGAAGGTAGTTTATTCCTGTCCACATTGCCCCCAGAACACAGATCTGGACCTTTTCCATTCATGTTTATGCTGAACTTAAATTCAGTTGATATATCCAATTTATATTCAAACAGTCAAAAGGGGCTCGAACTTATCATGCCTCTTTCCGGTTGCAAAATGAAATAAGGAGGAAAAGTGATCACAAAGTCAACAGCACCATTTTGCCTGCCAAAACCAACTTGGCATTATACTTTAAGATACATGGCATGAGAGTTGACTTGCTTGAAGGAGTTGATGTGTGGCCCCTGGCTTCCGGCAGAGGCCAGCTTCTCACTAAGCTTTCGATTGATCAACTCTATGTGCCGGGTATTCTTCCTGGCTTGCCTTAGTGACCTCTTGACTTTCTTCACCCGGTCTCGTAGTTGCTTGTTGCGCTTTTCCAGGGTTGCAACTTTTTGCTGGAGCTTCTTCACATGGTCTTCCTCATCAAACAAGGCCTTTTGGACTGAAGAGCACATGAGCTGCAATGACAGAGCACAGGTGAATGCTATACAAAAACAAAGTGAAGGAGCTACATAATGGAGCACAGAAGGACTGAAAGGGTAGGTTTTGGAGATCATGTTTGCATATTAGCAACCATAAATGTTAAACCTCAGCAGTTACATCCATTTTATGATCTTGTAACTGCTAATCCCAAGGGTGTTATTGGTCTTGGGCAAACCACAAAAAAAATTCTGCCTAAGGAAATACACACACTGAATATACAGAAGTAAATTGGAATGGCACTGAATCTTTCTTCAGCAGTAGATTTTTAGTTGGTTCAAGGCTCTTAGTTGGATTAATAAAATAATAAATTAATAAAATAACTAATCAGACTGTACAATGTAAAAGTTCTTTGTTTTATTATTATAATAATGCAAGTATATTTGTGATAAGGCAAATGCAAACACATTGCACAAGGAGGCTATACCCATATTACATCAAGGTTAGAGATAGAGAGGACTTGGAAAAATCTATAAGTTTTATCCATCCTCTGTTGGCTTGATAGTTTGGACCTTTGCACTACTGGAGAAATTAACATTTAAACTCTGTCTTCCTGGAGACAAAAGAGCCTTGCTAAAGACAAATTTAAATTCTGAATATGGCCCACCTTCGAGACACAAAATGTTCTCTTACAGGGAGCACTTTGGGATATTGATTTTGTCTGTTGCTGTCATTTGTTTCTGCTTGTTACTGCCCAATTGTATTTTAAATCGTAAAATATTGGCTGCAGGAGAGGGAGGGGGAGTGAGAATAAATTGGGAAGAAAGCATAATGGTGACAGCATTGTCCACCACACCTCAGGAGAGCTGTTTCGTTTAGGGGATGTAGGACATATCACAAGCCATGCAGCCATGCAGAGCTCTGCCCTCCAAGAGAAGAGAATTCCCTGCACCATCTGTCTCCTGAATTGGTTGATTCATTCTGCCTAATGGTAGGGCTGGCCCTAACTTGTATTAGCAATCCCATGTGCTTCCAGTGGTCTCAGCAGCTACACATCCTCAGATCAGATACTCCTATTTCATATACTCTTTGCAATGGCCATTGGCCAAAAGCAATAAAGATTGATTGATTATTTCATATACTGAGCTTCTGCTGTGCAGATTTTTAAATATATATATATATATATATATATATATATATATATATATATATATAAATCCTGGGCTTGAGAAGCAGGGGCATCAATATAGGGTAGCAAGGGATAGGGACTACACTTGACAACAGCTTGCGGGGGTTGAACACCCAAGGGGACGGTCACTCATTGTCCATCTCACCTGCCACCCCTGTCACAAGCCAGGGTACCTCTGAAAAGGGGGAGAGGGAGGGGCATGGAAGAAGGGGATGCCACATTGCAGATTGTTACCCACCCTCCCTTCCTTCCCACTGTCTCATCATCCTGCCTGGCCAGCCAGCCCTGGACTTTTCTGAGTCTGGCTGGTTAGCTGGGTATTTTAAACTGCAACAAAAGGAGAGATTTGATAGAAAGTTTGCAAGTTTAAAAATGAACTAATTAACAAATCATTTTAAAAAGTGTATTAATAAAAATATTTAAACAAATGTGCCAGCATGGTACCACAGTGCCTTACTTGAACACCTCTGCAACAACCTACTGCAGTGATTCAGTCTGTTCTGTATTTCTTTCCCCTATAATGACCATATGATTCATTTCTTTCTCTCTCTTTATTTCACATTTCTCTGGCATTCCCACTGGTGGTATCTTGTTAACAGTGATTTTGAAAAGAGTATTAGTTATCGAGTAACTAAGGCCGAAGTTACAAGAAATGTGGGCTGGCACTGAAAACTGCATCACTTTATCAATTAGGTGTTTCCATCTGAAATGGCCAAGATCGTGCCAAGTCCTGGTAGAGCACAAAGCTCCAGAGGCCTAGTTCTGCTTCCTTTCTCTCCCTCCCTCCACATACAACTTACCTTCCTGCTACTCAACTATTTAATGGTAATGGGAGCCCAAGCAGCCTCTGGCTCTGTTTCTGTAGCTGGATACATAAAGTTGACATCAGTGTCACAGAACTCCCATCGATCCTCATGACATCTGGTGTGATGATACCATTTTTGCATGTCCAGCTGCAGAAACACAGCCAGGCATCGCCTCCCCAAGTCATGGCTGTGAGTTGCAAGTGCCAGCACAGGGAAAGTAGGTTGTGCAGGTAAGGAGTTGTTGCATGAAAGAGGTACTGGAGGACTCCTTCCGCAACAACCATTAAAAGATAACTCCCAGTATATTCGCCAATGGGATTCTAGCCATTATGCAGTGAAGCTTTCCCTATGCCTTGATGTCATCAATAGAAAATATGCTTTTCTCCATTGTAAGGTCCCTGTACAACATGAATGACTGGCAGAAGTCATGGAATCCTACACACGATCAAATCAGAAACAAGGAAAATCCCTATTTATTATAGAGGGTGAAAGAATGTGGATATCCTTTTCAGTGGCAGCCCTGTGTTCTTTGTAACACACAGCTTCACCATCAAGTGGGGAGAGTAAAAGTAAAGAAAACTCTTAATTCAGAGCATTTTTTTGAATCTGCAGCCCAGTATTACTGCCAGGATTACCAGCACTGCAGTCCAAAACGTAACTTTACTAAGTGAGACATCTCATCCTAAACCATTATTAAATCAATGTAAAATTCTTCTGTTCTACTTCTTTCTCTTTGCACACTTTCAAAGCACAGTTGTTATGGAAACAAAGAAGTAGGAGTTCAAAGCTGGTAAATATGTATATGGTACAAGAGCCTACTTCTCTTGCAATTGCTCTTTCGTACTATACAAATTATAGCACTTTTTAAAGTGCCAGGGATCCATCCCATAGTATCCTGAAATTTGCAGTTTAGGGAGGGACATTTAAAATTCTCAGCCAGAGAGCTCTAGGGGCTCCCCAAACTACAAATCCCAAGATTCTGTAGAATGCAGCCATGGCAGTTAAAGTGGAAGCAAAAAGCTTCAATTGGGTGGTGTAAAAGAGGTAGGAGTAAATATTCAGAATTAGAGTAAGTGCTGATGGTATATTTCCTGCCCTGTCTCTCACAAAGATTGCCTGTGTGGTTAGTTGTTGATAGTTCTCCAAAATGTGATTAAAAAGTCTGACCACATTCCTAGTATTAATCTAAAGTCTTTGCAAACACACAAACATATGCCTCACTTCTTTGGAAATACATTTCATTGAACTAAATGAGGTTTGTTTACAAGTGACTGCATTTAGTATAATATTCTTCTAGTTTTGTCTGTTACTTTGGTACCTCAAAAAGTGACCATTATCCCCACATAAAGCCAAACCAGGACCATTCAAAATTTGGATCTAGCTCACGCTGCTGCCACATGGCAGAATTAATGAAGGTTGACACTGGTTTATCTGCCGTGGCTTTCATCCTATGGTGTGGCACCAGAACTCTCTGACAGAGAAGACTAGATATCACATAAAACTACTGATCCCTGAATTCCCTAGCATTGAGCCATGGAATTTAAAGCAGAGTCAAACTGCATTAGTTCTGCAGTGTAGATGCAGCCCTGGTTTGCCCTGAGAGTAGAGCAGAGGAAAGAACAAGAGTGACTTCTGCCTCTAAATAAACTACCACCTCTCTTTGAATCAGGATGCCATTTGATTTAAGAGCACAGACCTCTAGGCTGATGAACTGAACAGAATCCACTAGTGAGGGACTGTGATGGCTGCAAGCTTGGAGGAGAATGGAGAATGTCATGGAGAATGAGACCATCATTGGTTAGTAGAACAGTTGTAGATCTAATTACCAGAAGCAACATCCCTCCATATATCAATTCCTGACAAGTGTAAGATGGAGGGTGCAGTTGCACTAATGTCTTCCACGTAGATGGAGACTATCGTACTAGTTTATAAACTGGGTCACCTGAGCCAGCTTAAAATTAGAAGCAGGTGGCATCCTGATAGTATCACACACATTTAGCCACTGAAATCACCACCCGGCTGCAGCCCAGCTCCATCGCTGCTCCAAGGGACGCTCCTAGCGCCTCTTTTCGAGGTTTCTGGCTCGTGCGATAGTCTCCGATGTCTCCAAACAAAGGGGATGGTTGGAGAGCTCAGGAGAAACGGCCTCCCCATCTTCTGTCCAAGCTAATTGCCTCACAGGGCCAAGGTCCTACAGGGAATCTCAGGAGGGAGAGAAGTTGCCTAATTTGTCCATGTTTTGGGACCCTTGAAAAGATGTGAGGGGTACTTTCAGAAAGAAAAGAAAGAATAGAGGGCAAGAAGAAAATATAAACGAAGAAGATCTGGGTGGAGTTCATCCACCAGTAAAAAACATCCATGTGGTAGGATAGCATGGCACTCACCAGCGGTCTAGAGGGTCGGGCCAAGCCCCCACTGATGACCAAGAGCAAAAACTAGTTTCCCAGTTTGAATGCAGCTAGCAGAAAGTAACCAGAGTCAACTATGAGAGCCAGTGTGATATACTGGTTTGAGTGTTGGACTATGACTCTGAAGAACAAGGTTCAATTCCTTGCTTGGCCATGAAACTCACCAGGTGACCTTGGGAAAGTCACATGCTCTCAGCCTCGGGGGAAGGCAATGGCAAACCTCCTCTGAACAAATTTTTCCAAGAAAACCCCAAGCCTTAGGGTTGCCATAAGTCATAAATGACTTGAAGGCGCACACAATAATAAGGAGTGAGGGAAAACTAGGATATCCTCTTTGTATTATGACTTCCTCTACTATGACTTCCACTATCATCAGTTGAGACACAACCACTTGTGATTCAACTCTTCCCAGTGATTAGCAAAGTTACTTTGGAGGACTGCAACTCTCAGAAATCTCCAGATAGCATGGCTATTGGCTATGGTGGGTGGAGGATTCTTGGGGCTGTAGCCCTAAAAGGGAACTTTTCTGAGGTATGATCCTGCCCACACACACACAAATAAGAGATCATTTGTCTCACAGAAACTTGCCTCTGAGAAACATAGGCTCAACAAATGGCTAATATTGATCTATGTAGATCATGTCAAGCAGACAACTGTGGGTGTACTTGGGTTGTTTCCTTTCTAGGCTGAGAAACAGACTGTTATATCTGTGTACCAAACCTAGAAAATTCTACTAGCAGGTCCCTATAATGAAAGGTTTGAGAACCACTTGCAGCTCTATAAATTCCACTTCCCTTAAAAAAAATGAAAAGGATTTGAATAAATAGTGTCATTCTATGGTTTAGTTGCTAGATGGAGCTGGACTTAGTTTTATCTGGGTGGAGTCAGGGGTTTCCTGACTAAGGAGTTTATCACACAGGACGAATCCCGTTCAGAAACTAGATTTAAAGTGACAACAACCTGCTTTTGTGGGTTGTTTTTCATATGACTTACGGGGACAACCTGAACAGAAAGTAGAAAAAAAACGCAAATGCGGGTTGTTTTTCAGATGACATTTGCATGAAAATGAAATAATGCGAAAACAACCCAAACGGAAAGCTGTCAAAACCCGCTCCTTTTTACTTTAATGAAATTCTGAAAGTAGAAAGGAGTGTTTTTTGTTGACTTTCTGTTCAGGTTATTTTCACGTTATTTCTCTTTCTGCCAACGTGTCTGAAAAACAACCCACATTTGTGGGTGTTTAGTGGATTTTAAAATCCTGTTCCTTCACGGGATTTGCCTCTGTGTGCCTCTGTGTTCATTGTTTTGTTCTTGCTTATTAAAAGGCAAAAAGTAATTTTGGGGTAGCTTCCTGACTGGTGTGCCCATAATAGGATTGTTCAAGAAAAGATAAAGGAGGAGAAGGTGGATACATAGCTCTGATATGTACAAAAGGGGGTAGTATTACTTTTGGGACACATAAGCCACTGTCTACCTAATTGCTAACACTCTTCCCAACCAGCAGGGGGAGACAAGGTGTACTTAAACTTTGCATGGGAAGAGGCTGAATAGCCCACAGTGTTGTCCTTGAAGGACCCCTGAAGATCCAGGGGTAGGCAACCTTTTTGAGCCGCGGGCTGGGTTGCTGTCCCTCAGACAATTGGGGGCCAAAGCACAATAAATAAATAAATTAATTAAAATTAAAATTAAAATTACCGGTAAATATATATATATATATATATATATATATATATATATATATATATGCACACTCTCTCAGCCCCAGAAAAGCTATGGCAAAACCCCTGTAGAGATTTTGCCAAGAAAACCCCAAGAACAAGTAATAACAACAATAATCAATATCATCATGGCAGGCAGCAGTGGCGGCGGCAGCCGCGGCAGCACCAACCTGGGGCTGGTCCAAAGGCCTTGGGAGGCCGCATCAGGCCCCCGGGCCTTAGGTTGCCTACCCCTGCTCTAGCCACTCACCAAAATAATTAATTTTCGGAGGTCATTTTTCACACAATGCCCTTTCCAACTGGTCATAACTGCTGCAAAAAAAAATCTGTAATCAAAATCAGACTTGATGTGATATCACCTCTGGTCACTTTCAGTGCCAGATGACAATATAGCATTTGTTGTTGTTGTTGTTGTTAACTGCCTTTGCATCCGTCTCAACCCATGGCAACCCTATGGATGAGACATCTCCAGGCCCCCCTGTCCTCTACTGCTCTGCCCAGCTCCTGCAAACTCATATTCATGGTCTCTTTAATAAAGTCCATCCATTTAGCATGTGGCCTTCCTCTTTACTTCCCTCCACCTTTCCTAACATTATTGTATTTTCCAATGATTCATGCCTTCTCATGATGGCAGGCTAATCTCTGGCAATATAGTGTACAAGAGCACAAATTACCACCAACCCCTCCACAGTTGTCCACTCTTGTTCTAGGGGGATCTCTTGACCTGATCTCTGATGATCTCACCATCCACCTCAACAGGTCCACTGGTCATCAGTTACCACTGGGTTCATTTGATCTTTTTGTAAGGCCCTGATCTATGTAAAACAGCAAGCTCTCTCTTGCTTTCATAGTCAGTTATTACATGTGCTGTCTATTTTTTGTTCTCTGTTTTGTATTATTTTCAGAGAAGCTCAAAGTGTTGGGGATGGGAAGAAAGGGAATATTCATTTGTTTTGGATGATCACCAGCAGCTAAGAATGTTCTATATAGAATGGCCTACCAGAATCACAGTTCACAGATGATGACTTTGACTGTCAGCCATCCTAATCTACTATGAGTTAAGATCTCTGAAAGAAATCCCCTCCCTACCTCCATTCCACTCCAGGAGCTGCTTTTGAAAGCAATTCTCAAGGAGTAGTGTGTGTATAGATGTAAAAAAATGCATGCTCATTTCAAGCTACCTGTGACTGACTCCTCTGACTCAAATTTAATTTAACTCTCCCTCTTTTGCCACTCTAAAATGATCAGTGGTGTCATTAGGAAGGTGCAGGGAGTGTGCACTGCACTAGATGACACCCGAAGGGAGGGGGTGACACCACTGCTCCTCAAACACCTACCTTTTGGCAGAAGCAAGCTGTGGCATTCATCTGCTTCCCTTTAAAATGCTTTAAGAGATGGTGGGAGTGGGGCAAAGCTCAGTAGAAGGCGAAAGGAGAGGGCCTATGATTTTTTTAAAATTAAAAATTTCAAATTTCAAAAATTTTAATTTTTAATTTTTTTAAAAAAAAATCTTTTAAAACATCACATTTTAACCAAATCTTCACTATGTATATGTAAATACATTTAGGTTGTGTGTATGATATTGTAATTTGAAAGTATCATTTAAATTTTGCTAGCTTTTTTATGTCACATCTTACATTCATTACATTCAGTGAAATATGGGAATTACAATTTATGAGTAACATTAGTGCAAAAAAGCATTACTAAGGATTCTGTATGGTGTGAAATGGGAGGAGGTCAATGCAAGGGGTGATACCATGAATTTCCACACCGGGTGACACCAACCCTAGGGATACTACTGAAAAGAATGCATTAATGTACATATGCTGCACTTACTTCGCTACTCAGATGAGAAAAGTTGTGTTGGTACACAAGGTGCATGGTGGTGTTTTTCCAATTAATAGGTTACATGTTAAAACACTGTTATCAAAAAATGTGACAAAATAATACAATAATACCTCATTTTTATATAGTTACTCAGGCATTCAAGGTACTGTACTTCACATACCTCTACGGTCCTTATAACAATCGTAAGATAGGTCAGTATTTTTTATCATCCTTAGCAGTACCAGCACCTCAGAACTCCTCGGTTGGTGCAGCTGCCTGACTCCTAAAGTGGATTCTGGAGCTGGGAAGCAGACTGGGAAGCTGATCACAGCTACAGTCTGTCTACCTACTTCTCTCATGAAGGATTTTGGCTGATATGCTGAAGATGTTGAAAGTGTATGATGCCTTTTTCACCAGGTAAGTGAACAAGATTGTCCCAGCACTAGTAAGCCAGAACAAATAAATAATGCAAAACAGTAAAAATAAAAACTAGTTATTATATGAAAAATAAAGAAAAAACACAAATGTTGCTATTATTAAAGATAACAGAGACCTAGGACGTTATTACATGGGGGAAATCTGGGTGCATTCTGACCCAATAGTTGTTGGCATGGTCCAAAATTTCAGTGTTTTTAAATAGCATTTTATGCCTGGGATGGTTTATACAGTGCTCTGCTACTGCTGATTTTTCTGGCTGGCCCAGTCTGCAGTGTCT